TTACACTGCCGACGACTTCGTTAGTAAGCCTGGTGTAGCTGGCTTCGGACTCGCTGTCTTATAAGGTGTATTTTGTCTGCTGGGTGCAAATGCGAAACCTCATGATCACCCAGAGACCCCAACCTACGAGCCAATTTGTAGCTTGCCCCGTTTAGGAACATGTAATGTCCGAAAACGGCAAGGAGTGGAGTCACCCCTGTCGCCGTGTGTATGGCATTGCGTATAGATACTAGATACTTCTATTTCTGGAAGGTAGAGGTCCCACTCGTGGTGATCTTGCTCCAGATACGCCCTGATTGCCGACAATACAGTACGATTAACTCGCATTGCTCTGTGGCGCGTAGACTGCAGTGCGCATATGCGAGATGCCGAAAGCTGCGATCATGCTTTGGAAAGTACCCGATATGAACTGTCGTCCGTTGTCAGAGTGAATGACCTCGGGTACTCCAAACTTATAGAAAACCTCGCTGACCAAAAAGTCCTCCACGTTAAGAGCCGTAGCCTCTCGCATCGCTTTAAAAGACCGTGAATTTTGAAAAATGGTCGACCACCATGCAGATTCAAGCGTCCCCTTGCCTCAAACGTGGGTACTTTCCCAGAAAGTCGACATACAGTTTTTGGAATGGTCACTACGTCTTTTCCTAGACCCACTTGCATGCGGAAGTTCGGTGCCTTGATTTCCTTGCATGTCGCGCACTGCCTTACCCATGCCGGGCTAGTAAAACTGCCCGTAAGGTCCCGAGTGTTTTTACGACACCACCATGACCAGCCGTCTACGTGGGCGTTCGCTATTAAGCCGACTGTCAAAGAGCTTGGCACCCACAGCTTCCACACGGTGCCTTCTAACTCGTCTTCTAGGTGAACGAATGAAAAGCACACCTCCCTCAACCTTCAGATCTGGTTGTTTGTCCTAATTCGAACGTACCTGTTCGAGCAACGCCTGATATTCCGCTGACTCGCGATAGAGTGTCGGCTACCATGCTTTCACTGCCTTTACGGAGCTCGATGGTAAGGTCGTAGCCGTGCAGCAGCAATGACTAACGAGCTAGCCTCCCGCTTAGGTCTTTTATGACCATCAGCCTTTTTAAGCTGGCGTGATCGATGATGCATGTAAAAGGCATCCCTTCTATTTACGGTCTGAACTTTTTTATTGACAGTATCGACGCTAAGCACTCCTTTTCTGTGTCGGAATAGTTCCGTTGTTGTTTATTCAACTTGGCTGAAAAGAAGGCTATGGGTCGTTCCTGATTATCGGTGTCTTTTTGGAACAGCAAAGAATGGCTTGGAAATGCCCACGTGCACGAGCACTGGGGCCGTGGTCAGTGCGGTCTTCAACGGCTTGTGTTGCCTTGTACTCAACACAAACTTGTCTCTATCTTCTTTTTAACATTTCGGCCAATGGTGCGGCCATGGTTGCGAAATCTCACATAATGCGCCAGTACCAACCTGCTGTTCCCGAAAATGAGCGAACTTATTCGCGCGACCGAGGCACGCGGATTCGTTTGATCGCTATAACCAATTCGGGGTCCATGCGAAACGTGCCATCACCAACAATAAATCGGAGATATTTTAATGCCTTGAAGCAAAATTTGGATGTGTGCAGTCCGATTGAGAGGTTCGCTTCCCTTAAGCGTTGATCCACTCATCGCAGATATCTTTAATGCGTTTGAAAATCTGGGGAAATAACCAGTAGATCGTCTAAATAAGCAAAGACGTTGGACCTTAGCTCGGTGAGAATGACCTTGTCCATCAGACGAACTAGACGTTGTGCTGCATTGCATAGCCCAAATGGCATGACTCGAAACTGGTATAAGGGCCTACCTGGTACGGTTAAATGCGTTAGATGCCTTCTTAACAGGGTAGTGGATATGCGTCTTTTACAGTCAAATAATTGAGCTTGCGTGCATCGAGGTAAACACGGTTTTTACCCGGTCTTCGCACTTCTGTTGTGCGGTTACTCAATGGGCTGTTGCACGCTTCTATAACCCCCAAACTCAACATTTTGTCCATCATCCACTACTTTCTGCGTCGCTGGCGATAACGAGTAGGGTCTATCTTTGAACGGTTGGGCACCTTCTACTAGGTCGATAGTGTGCTTCTCTAAGTCGGTCGTTCTTAACCCGCTACGTTCAAAAGACAAAAACTCCCGCTTGACCGCCGCCAACTCTATCCTTTCTTCCCTAGACAACTCCCATGAATCCGGCTCACTTTCGAGTTCTTCCTCGTCTTCCGCATAGTGCGTAATCGACGCGGCCTAGAGCTCTTCCCCTTGGCGCTCTGTGGAGATTAGCTTCTCGAGGCCCAAAATATGTGCCCCCTACCTATAACCGATTTATCTTCTCCTCCAGCGGTTGTGAGGACAGAAATGTAAGGTTGCACCGTAACCCCTAATTCTTCGACCAACTCTCGACTTACTTTTCCCAGCAGGCTGACGGAGGCTCCTGTGTCTGGCGCCTCGTAATCCTGCCTCTGCGGAAACGCGCCCGAGCATTCACCATTCGTCGGGTGGATAGCGTCATCGCATCCAGCTGTCGCTCACCAAAAATTATATTTCGGGCCGACATGTATGCCCGAACACGTTCTTCATATGGTAAGCCCCTTAATGTTCATCCTTTAGTTTTTGTTGATCCTTATGGTCTATATTCGTCTCCTTTTCAACTACTATTGGCTTTGGTAGGTGTTCTTCTCCTGCCTTTCCGCGGTCGCCATCCCCGAACGCGTCTGTCCCGCCATCATCGCGCTCCATCTGGGGTTTCCCGGTCAATTTTCGCACTGTGGGCAGAATGTGTCCGGCTTTTCGCATCAATAGCAGAATATCTTCCGCTCTTTAGACAGGCAGTCTCTAAAGATGTGGTCGAACTGCCTACAGTTCCAGCATACTAGCCGGGAAGATGTCCTGCCTCGCACGAAGGCCTCCTCCAGTGCTCTAGGCGGCGCGTTGCGCACGATATGGTGATACTTTACCTCGTGAACTGTCGACTTTATTCCTTGCGAGTTCGGCTTTTGCGACCAATGTGCCTCTCCACTTCTATGCACTCTTGGTGCAGCTCATCCACGGTGAGTACATCCATAGCATAGATATATTTGGCAAGACTCTCCTTCAAACCACACTTTATCATCTTCACCAGCTCGCGGTCTCTCAACGGCTTCTGGAATTGCGCGGCGAGTTGACGCATGTGGTGGATGAAATCGCTGTAGTAGCTCCTGCATTACATCACGCTTCGCCTGATAGCCCCGGAACCTGTCCAAGAGAACATGTCGCAGTTGCATCTAGCTGTCGACCCTAAAATGCTGCACATGCATACAATACCACTCGCAGGCACGGCCTGTCAGGAGCAGGGGAAAGCCGCGAAGGACCTCCTTCCATGGGCATTGATATTGCCTCTGTAGGAACTCTAGTCGAAACGCGAAGTCCTCGACAGAATTCATTGCGTCCTCGCCATCGAACCTGACGTTCCACCGCGCGAGCTTCAGGTACACCGTTTCTCGTACGTTGACATATGCTTCCTCCGGCTGAAAGTCATCCGCTCTCCGGACCTCTTTCAGGAACTACAGGTTTCGTGCAGGTCTATCTTGTTTCGCCAATTCCTTCTCTAAATCTACCAGATCACTCGCGGAAATTCATTGGCGTTCTCACCAGACCTCCTGCCGGACGTGGCGGTGGCAGTGCCGACTCTGCGTCAGCGTCCGAAACCCAGTCAGGCACCTGTTCCTCAGCCATACTAATCCCTTCAGAAAACTGTACCCCTCTTTTCTATAAGGCTTACTAGACCTAATACAAAAAAAAACTTCACAGATAAATCCTATTAAATAAATAAATAAATAAACATACACCAACAAACCTTACTAATATTGAATAAATAAATAAATAAATAAACATCGACAACAAAACTAACTCGCAAAAATTGTTTTTTTACGTTTCAAATTCAATTTTATATATTTTGGGGGAGAGAAAACAAATCCTAACATAGGCTAACTTGTCTACGCATTATCTGGACAGTGGAGAACATTTAAGCATTTGTCAATTGCTCAGATCGTCAGTTTGACGGACGAACGGCATTCAAGGAACGCTATCTTGAAGTCTATTTGGCTTCTGTTACACTTCTGGGCACTTTTGAGACATACTGTGTCACCAGTGCGGCGCAGGATCGAATCTATATCGTCCTGGGTCACCTGACTCCGAAGCCCATATAACTACGGCCAGCACACACCAAAAGTAAACACAGAGTGAGACAAAACAAATAGTAAACATTAAACAAACTCTAACAAAGCATACCCTAATATCACATTTTGTCAAAGGTTATTTTGTTATGGCGGCTACCACCAGGCTATGATGGCAAACGCTTCGCCAATATGCGAACGTGTCATACAAACTAGCCATGGTAATGGACACCATGGCAAGATCCGTCTCCGTCGCTCTTCTGGCCATTCTTGGGGTATGCTGTGTGACAGATGCGGCGCAGGCTCGATTCTACATCGTCCTGTCTCCGAAGCTCATATTTATTTATTTATTAGAGGTCGACACGACGAGTGTCTTCCTAATTATTTAAAACATTATAAATACATTATAAGAATTAAATGCTAAAAGCCTAGTTAGAGAACACAATTTTCTAATAGCATTACCAACCGATGGAGGTGTTTTATTTGCCAGTCCGGCCAGCTGTTCCCCTTTTCACAGCTAATTTTGTCAGTGACGCTATTAGAGCCTACATCTAAGAAGAAGGGTGTAAGTAGGAAAAAAGTGCTATTAAGTTAAATTAAAAATAATCTTAATTTGCTATATTATTTAAGAGAATGCCATAAATAGGAGAAAAGAAAGTAAAAAGATTGCAGCCCGCAGTCCGCATAATCGATATTAAAAGAACTACCACATCAGTAGCAAAACATACCTACAGAACACTATTCAAAATGACCCACATAATCGATAAACAACAAAGAGCCGGAACTTCTTCCAAACAAAACATTATTATCCACTTTACTCTTCCAGTTCGGGCCCCGGTTCCGGACCCAGCGTACCCTATCTGAGACGCTCCCCTGATCTCGTTTCCCTCAGTTTGGCCACTAGATGGCCTGCATCAGCCTGTGTCGGCTGTCATGCCCCCTCTCCTCATCAATGGATATTTAGCCGGACATTGTTTTCTTTCAATATGTGCGTATATGCAACCAATTGCATTTCTTTAAAATGATTAACAATTAATATTATTTTTTATTGCATGTATCTCGGCAGGTTATATACACTCAGCTATTTACAATCACCTGCAAGCGAACATTTCTTTTCAACTTCACCAGGTGCGTATAACTGTGGCGTGCTCTTATTGTTATTGACAGTTGACCTTAATAGCTAAAATAAAAGTCGCAAAAAAACAACAAAAAGGAAAGATACAAACACCAGGTAATTATTGCACCAATGGGGGAGCAAGTACCCTCTGCAATAAATATGTATATATATATGTGCCACAAATAAAGATGTGATATATGTGTTAAAGCGCTTATTATACCTTGCCTGCCTAAAGAGCTCTCTGGGTGGGGGCGGTAGTTGCCATCATAATGGGTATTTTGCACATATGGTGCATGACATATATATACATTAAGTGGGTATCGCTCGGGCACAAGTTAACAAAAATCTAAATATTTTCTTTGTTATTTGTTGGGCAGACGCAATAATCTTTGTTCTGATCGCACTTTAGGGAATTTTCTTAAGCGAAACTAGGCGTAAGTACATGTATCATTTATCCACAAGAACTAAACCTAATAGTGGCAAAAATCTTTTCTAAGTCAGGGGTTTCGAACATGAGTCTACGTCTGACTCTGCCTGCTACTCGGGGCGAGGAAGGACGACATGGGACTGAATCACTCGGATGAAGTGGGCGTGGTCGCACCCGTGGCCGCTTTTTAGCCTTTCCTTCTGGATAGCGTCGGTGATCAGTGCGCCGAGGGTATGGCTGACGTGCACCGCTGAGCCGAAACCGGGCCTGGGAGTGAAACTGTTGGCCTCTCTGGCCCGACAGCTGATCCCTTCGTTGCCGTAACCGTAGGTGGTTTCTTTTATTGTCTTATTTTTTTTAATTGTTCGTCCCGTGTCGCATGTAAGTTTTAAGTTTTTAAATTTTTGTATATCTCAATGTTTGAACTCATGTTTCTTTATTAAACAGCAAAAAATATTCCTCGTTATTTTTAATTTGTACGCGTCGGCTTAGTTGGCCGGTTAGTAAACGTTTCTAGAATATTTAAGTACGGAGCCTACATGCAAAAGGAAAAGTTTTTGTCTGGCTTCGAGCACGGCACGCCCGCCGCTGACTGCTGACAAAATCGAACTCCCTGCTGTACATTTGGGCAGCAACGTCATCGGTGCCGAATTTCGGCAAACGCATACATGTAAGAGGTGAGCACCGTTGCTGCCCATCTGCACAGCTGCACTCTAGGGTCAACGGCCCAGTTGTAGGCCAAGGGCATTAGCACCCGATCCGCTCTCTTCCTAATCTCTCTATGACCGAATCGGTCTCCCAATCATGGTTGTTCTATCGCGTTACCCCTCTCAGCGCAGTGGATAACAAGCCAGGCAAAGCAAGATACTAATTTCCGGAAAGCTATCCCACTTGAAAAGCGCATTGCCATTGGACTCTACACACTGGGCTCGTCAGCAGAGTAACGGGCTCTTGCACCCGAATACCTGCCGCGTCAATTTTTAACGAAAGACAAAGTTGAGGAATGTGTTCGAGGATTTGAGGAGATTGGTTTGCACCAGTGCTTTGGTGCGATTGGTATGACGTTTTCAAATTTTTCGTTAAGCAGATTATAATAACATTCTCTATAGATGGAAGTCACATAGAAATTCATCCAACTGCCGCCGAGGCCATTGACTACTACAACTACAAAGGATGGTACTCGATTATCCTTTTGGCACTAGTCGGTAATTAAAGATAAAACTGCTTCAATGGTGTATGTTCAATACCAATTTTCACACATTTATATTTAGTTACAGATTTCTTTATGTGAATGTCGGTTTTCCAAGTCGCTGCCACGATTCGCAAGTCTATGAAAGTAGTTCATGGAAGACTTTGGTTGAATCTACACCCATTTTTCAGGCGAAAGCAAAAAAATTGGCTGGAGTCGACGTACCAGTGGTATTACTTGGCGATTTGGCATTCCGTTTTAGCACAAACCTTATGAAGCCGTATCCATTTTGTGTTTCTGCGCCAGAGCAGCAAAAGGCATTCAACTATGCTCTATCAAGGGCAAGACGAGTCGTTGAAAATGCCTTTGGCCAGTTAAAGGCACGTTTCCGCAGGGTTGGTAAAGGATTGGATAATCGCTGCGACAAAACTACCAATATAGTTATGGCCTGTTGTATTTTGCACAATTTTTTTAATTGCGATAATAGTGACATTTTGGACGAATGGGTGGAACCGGAAAATATTCGTGCGCAGCCTGAGCACACCAATGCCTCAAATGATTTTAATGGCACTGCTGAAAGTATTAGGTAGGTTATAACTACCTTTATAGCAACAACCCAATAAATAAAAACAATTTTTATAGCAAAACAAATCTTTAACTGCATTCTTTGCAATTACTTTCTATCTTATTACTTATAGTTTTATTTTACATTGATTTAATATATTTTATTATTTATTATTTTATTATTATTTTGAAATTGACTTCTCCATTCGCTCCAGAATTGCCAACCGTGCATTGGCTATTTTTTTAATTTCCTCCGTCCGCTCCCTCATAGCTGCCACCACGGCCGCTTCAAATGGGGTCATTTCTGACCTCTTAAGCCTTCGCATCTTTGCAGAATGCGGCGTGGTGGACGGAGAATTTTCTTCATCCTGCGAGCATAATGGTGAGTACGATGACTGCGATGGCTGGTCTTTTTTCTGCTTATAGAACAATTTTGGGAGCTCTCCGCCTCCTTCGGAGCAATTGGCTCATCTGTAATGAAAAATGTTTTTAAGGAGCGTATTCCATTTTGGCTTAAAATTTGAAATGAAAGTATAAATTACCTGTACTCTGTTGCACTACTTGTGAGAAGTTTATGGACTTCACTGAGCCAATTATTTTGTGCACCCGCTCAAAATGGGTCCATCCTGATGGAACCCCTTTCAGATGCGCCTAAAGCTTTCAATTCGCTCCTGAAAAATAAGTTAAATTTAATAAAATAAAAGAAGCTGTTATAATATATAACATAAATAAATCAAAGCATCCTTACTTGTACTTCCGCGTTGTGTTGTCTATTTTTGATCGCACGTCTTGCCAAGATAAACTTTCGAAGCCAGCTTCGGAAAGTTTGGCACACATGCGTTGAAAACTATGCACGTTTTTTTGTGCAGACCTCAGCGCCACGAAATTCTCCTCCCACAAGTCCAAAAGAACGGCCTCGAAGTAGGGTCTCCATTTGGCATAATCTTTACGAATTTTCGCCATCGTTAAAGCTAAAAACAGTGGTATTAGTACAATTTTAAAATATAATTTAAGTTTACCGCTTACCTTCGTTGCTATATCAGCTGTTTATGGTAATGATACTTTCACAAATTTCATAACATCGATAGAAAACGCGATAAATCATCGCAAAAAACTCGAAATGTTCGGGGCGAATTTACACATTTTTCAAAAATATGACATATTTTAAAAATGTGTGTAATGTGTTTTCTTATGGGAAAACGAACAGGCCGCATTTTACACATTTTGCAAAAATTTTCAAGAAATGTGTTCAGTGGAGAGAGGCTACGACTCTTTCCACTCCACCATTGAGGTAGAGATAACTGCGCGGCTTTTTAAATGTGGTAGGCCTAATCCACACATTACTATTTATTAATTTTTTATTAACCACAACAACGACTATTTTCAATATAATAAACAAATACATTTAGATTAAATCCAAAATAATTTGTGTTTAAAATTATTAATACTATAAATATACTCTTAGCAGTCCTACTCTCTCTGGGAATAACAAAATGGTCGCAAGCACCCATGGGGCTCACTCGCATCAATTTATCATGTTTCGATTATTTTGCTGTTTGACGTATCTATGTATTGTATGGTTAGTGACCGAAGCCTAAATCGTATATACGTGTGTGAATAGATATATGTACATACATATGATTACATTCTTTCGTAGGCTTTAATATTGATATTGATTTTTGAATTATTGATTTTATTTGAAAATGCATACATATTTATGTTGAGTGAGTGATACATGCAAACTCATACCTACAGAAATACTAATCAGAAAAAGTCTGGGTTACGCGCTTGCTTGCTTAGGCTTTGGCCGAAACAATGACTTACTTACCTTTTTTAATTGGTGAAGGGATCCAACGAGCATTAATTAAAAAAAAAGTTCTCCCTGTAGGAATTGAACTTGCGACCCGCGACCGACGCAGCGAACTGTTTCCACTTGCTGTATACCTTGCAACCATACCAAGAGCTGGTTCTTAACGAAAAAAAACTGAACTCAAATAGCAGCACATACACAGAGAACAGCATACGATGCAATCGAAATTGTAATTCTTTTTGTGTGTATGTATATGAGTGTAAGTCTGCAAACGATACAGAAACTCTTGCGCTAGCTGCCGCTGACACGCCTGCCATTATATACATATATAACCACACGTTTTCTTTAATACCCTGAACACATTAAAAATGGGTAAAATGGGAAGGAAGCATACCCGACCCCATAAAGTACATATATTTTTGATCAGCATCAATAGCTGAGTCGATCTACCCATGTCTGTCCGTCGGTGCGTCCGTCCGTAAGTATGAACGCAAGAATCTCAGAGCCTATCAGAGCTAGAGACTCGAAATTCTTACCGAAGGTCCACCTAGTACCCGCGTTGTACAAGTTTATATCCGATAATCGATGAGTTTTTTGAACAAATCTCTTATGTTTTTAGAGCTAGAGTCAACAAACTTGTCTTGGCGTTTCTGGAATAATATATATAAACATCAAGTATCGGTTAAGAAATACAAAAGTTATTAAAGAAAACTTATTTTAGCTGGCCACGTTTTGGGGTAGCTAGGGCACATTGCAAGAAATGCGATTGTATTTTTTTCTATGCTGTGTGTATGTGCTACTTTTTGAATCCTTTTTTTTTCAGTAGCAGTGAATTGTTGGTTTGAATGATGAGTAGAGACGGTGGCAGGTAGTGTGGTATGTTACCAGTTCGTGTCCTATAGGGGAAACTATTTATTTATTTATTTGTTAATTTATTTTGATTATTTATGCCAAAGCAAACGAGCTCATAGCGCGAGCTGAATTTGGTCTTGGTAGAAGGGGGTTCAGGCGATTCCCTAGTCGGGACTAAAGCCTCTTAATTTGCTTAAGACCCAGGAAGAATCATGAAAAAATTTGGGATTACAATTGATTGGGAACGAATCATGTGAAACATTAATTTTGAATAATGCTATTTCACGGGGAGTTAAGAAATTAAATATAGTTATATATATGCTAGCAGAAGATTTGCCAGCAATACTAGCAGCCAATGAATCGCAAGTGGTGTATGAAAGAAATGCGGAACACAAAAACTCTCTTACGAGAGGCAATAACATTCAAAATAGGAACTGATGGGGCTGAATATATGAGGCCTACCGGGACTACTTCAGAGGGTACCGCAGGGGTGACATTCGGTAATCGGTTGGAGAAGGCGATAAGGACAGCATTGGGGATAAATCTAAGTTGCAAGGCAAAAAAAAAAACAGCGGCGTAGGTGTTAGGACAGGTGTAGAGGGCGAATTCGAAATTTTAGTCTCAAGCCGCCGATTAGCTGGAGACTTACATTTATATTTGGTGAGCAACTAGAAACTCGAGTCAAACTTACTTGAGAGCTGATTAGCCACATTATTAAGACTTAAAAATTGATTTCTCAAGGAATTATATATTTTGGAGAAATCAATTTGCGTGGCGATGCATACTGGGCACGACCAACGTAAGCCGTCGCAGCCCTTCTTTGAAATTGCAGCGATCTTTGCCGCAATCACGCTTAGTGAGACTTGCACATCAAGCATGCATCGTTTTCTCACTTAGCCAACAATAACAATCTTCATCCTGCTTGAGCTTACAACTTTTTTAAAAGCACGACATATTGACTACCGGGGTTATAGATAAGCAGAATTAAGTTGCGAGTGCGCACAGCGAACTTAAATCGGCGCACAAAAATAGAGCGAGCAAACACTCAAAAAATATTCCTACCCAAACAATATTTGTTTGAAGCATCGGAAAACAGCACAAACAGAAATATGCGAACATAATCGAAATCAAAATAATACTAACAACAACACGGAACTGAGGTCGCGTTCAATAAATGCAATAATTAATAAACTTACGCTGCACAACAGATGACACTTTGCACAAGTAATAAATGCTTTTTGAATAAAGCACAAAAGATGCAAAACTTACAAAACAAAAAGCAGGTTAGAAGCGCAAAAATATAGAAAACTCTTGGAGCACATGTAAAACACGTCAGTCACTCTCAACTGAGAACTCTCTCTCTTATCGGATTCGTTAGACTTGGTCTGTTGGGTAATGTTGTTCAACCTTTGCGTCTTAGACCCGTTATTCTTTGAGAGCTGTTGTGAAGCTTTTGACCTTGCGGTTAATCGGACTCAACGTCGGAGATCGCTGGTTTTATATAAGTAGCTGCCTGTCTGAATCTTGCCGTAGATTAGTCTACGTCCATTGGCTCTGGAAGCTGTGGTTGCCACTGCTTGCTACCAGGAGGTTGCTGTTGCCACCTTGGGTATTGTTTCTCTAAAAATGAGGATTCTTCTCGAACTTATCGCCACCTTGGGGTTGACAACGCGTCTGTTGCCGGCTGGCCTCAAATTTCTGTAGCTCGTCTTGGTAAAACTTTGCGTA